TATTAGCTGCAGATAAAAAACTACAGCTACCTCATCTGCTCTACCACACAAAGCCACTGTACTGCCCTACAAATAGCGTGACCTTCATTACGGCGGTTAGCCTAAAAAAGAATGAATGTATGATGCCTCGATGAGGGGTTTAGGTGAAGCTGAGGGGGCGTAGACGCTCATCGGTTACAACGAGGGCCCTGAGGCAACCTTCACAGCTGACGAATAGGAGGTCAATATCGGCTTGTAATTTGCCGTAGTGATAATCAGATAGTGCCACATACAATCCCTTCAAAAAACGAGAAGAGCGTCGGGTGCAGACCATACACCACAAGTGACGACGGCCTCCACAAAATGTAAATGTTTTCTGCCAATGAAATGATTAGCCTGTTGCAGTTGTATTCTATCAGTTTTATCATTTACCAAAAATCAGCTATCACTATGAACCACTACTAACCAGATTTACTTGGAGGCCGTCGTCACTTGTGGTGTATGGTCTGCACCCGACACTCTTCTCGTTTTTTGAAAGGGAGGGTAGACCCTCTACGGCTTTATCTCCGTACTCAGTCTATCGCTGTATTACCATTCCACTTAATCCGCCATAGATCTTGACTGAAAAGAGCTGAACCTCTCTGGTATTCGGCGCTCACCACATGCGCCTAATTACTCGGACCCTCGCTATCAGTCTCTCATTCTAATGTGCACTCTCTTCAGGCCATAGTCTCATATGCCATAGATCAGTTGGGAAAAGAATTTTTGAACAGGGTGTTCACTGTTCTTTGTTCAGTGTAGGGTCCCGCAGCTTCTGTCGTTCCATATTTGAACACCACTACACAGATACTGCAATATGCCTCACTTAAACGGTGTGATCATCTTCGACATCCCTGTAGAGCCACGGGTCGGGATCAGGTGCTAACCATAAGAGGTGATCCCTTCTAGAATGAGAAAAGGGGGCCCCAAGCACAGGAATATCGACCATTCGCGGCATACGTGGCGTCTGCTCCCTCTCGCGTCGACGTGCTCCCTCGCGTTTTCCCTCTCCTCGCAGCGCTGTGTCTCTCCGTCGTACTACGGCCGGCCTCCTAAGGGAAATTTCAGTGTTTTCTATGGTGCTTTTTGCTTTTTCTCCTCACTAATGTTCCTCATTGCACTTCCTTGTCTAATTTCCGAACAAAATAACACATCAATTCGATTCCGGCCCGTGCCTCTAGAGCAAGGAAGGAACATGCTACATCATATACCGCTTCTTTTGAGAGTGAGTCGTATCATACCAGTACAACCCTTTAAAGGAAGTTTGTTACCAACTTTAAGACCCATCCGATGAACGTAGAACAGCCGCTTGTAGTCGTCCATCCACACTTCTGCTAGCCGTTTTGAATTTGTGCCATGTACGTCCTTATTATTATTTCGACCTGCAGAACCAGTTATAAGACACTACAACTTGCAGCCACATAAACATATTTGTTTGCGTCAAATTTTTTAGGAGCTATAAAGAGAACCGAGACCAACTACGAAGATCAGCAATTAATTAGTATAATTTCTGCATTTGCGCGCAAAACGAAGCGACTTTGGACACATACAATCACATTAATGATTTGATGCAAAATCGATGCTATAGACCGAGTTAATTATAGCGAAATCGCTATTATAGGTCGAGCTAAACACTGGCTAAGGAATCGCCCCTCCTATTTGAATTTCCTGACCCCACGTGAGGAAAATGTGCTGAAGTGAACCTGCATGTCATAGGAGGTGTCACTGATCGGGACATATGACCTAACATGGAGCAGGGAATTCAGGACTTCACCGATCTTCCACAATCCCAGAACCCTAAAAATGCACAGTTGCAAAACGTAAATTGTTCGCAAACGGGACGCAAAGCACTGAACACACCCGAAAAGAGATTTCGAGATTTTCACCTCCCAAATGTCCATTTCTTCGTCATATGCTCCAACCTCGAAGAAGAACTTGCGATCAGCAGCAAACAGCCCACCAGCCATTGTAGGCGACCTGACTTACAAAACATCCAACAGAAACTGAACAAAAATCACTCGAAGAGGGAGACTGGAGACTCACCGTATGTAGTCAGTTTCTGGATGCTTTCTTCGCTCAATTTCCCTCTTGGGCATTGATGATATACTATAGTGGAGCGACCACCAGAACGTCCCGATTCCTTAATTTCAACATTGAGATTTATTATAGGAGAAATAGATTAGAAAACTCTTACCTCCATGTGAACCACCAAGATAAGCAAGATTCGTATCAGAAATGGAGTCAATGATTGGGCAGACAACAGCAGTGCGCTGTTCTTGAATACGCGCCAGTAGCGGTTCGATCCTGTAACAATAATTGATCAAATCTTCCTACTCTAGTTATATAACTAGATTTACTCCTAGTCTATGGAGCCAGCCGGGCATCAATATTGGTTCCCCACGTCAGGCATGCTGCTATTGCAGTCTTATTGACACACTTGGCTCAGGTCTTGGAGGAATCGGCATTAATGTGTATCTTTTGAAGAATTTGATGCCATATAATGCCAGATATGTTGCTGATAATAAATCTGCTATTAGAAACAGGGTCAAATGTCCGTTGTTTCACTTCCAAAAATTCTTCGACACCCTCTCAACGGGCATCCCTCACCGTCAGCCTCAGGGAGGTCCCCAAATACGACCCCTCACCCCAACCGCCACCCTCACTATCAGAGAATATGTCTCAAACGATAAACACTTCAGATTTAATCATTTCACCTTCTATCGCCAAAATCCCCAAGGGACCCGTCGACCCTCCTAACAAAAGCTACCAACAGAAACCAAGTAAGCGTAACTTGTGAAGGTTCGATGGAAATTTTGCAGCAGTCGTTATCGCCACCGTTACTGAGTCATATTCAGGAGCTTCCAACCTTCTGGAGCGCCACAACGTGGACCTCACTACCGACATCTCTGACTGTAGAACCGTGTGTTTGAGGTAAATTCTTTGAAACTTGCTTTGTGTCCGCTCAGTCTCACGTTACCAAAATTGAGTAATTTTGTTTGACCCATCGAACAGGTTTCTAAGCTCAGCCGGAGTGCTGTCTACTAGCCACAGATGGGTGACATCGAGATACAACCCCCTGTCAATAAATTTCCAAACCAACAAGATAGTAGTAAAGATCACCATATATGTACATACCAGATAGTGAGAATTCGGGTTTTACAAAATGCAACTCACCAGCCGGCATTTGCTTCACAATGAGAGTCGAGGAACACAAGCACGTCACCAGTTGCGGCTTTTGCTCCCTTTAATTTCGCTCTGATCAAACCGAGCCTTTCAGTGGACCGAATCAGTGTCACAAGAGAACCGAATCTCTTCAGATGTTCATCAAGAGGTTCGCCAAGTTCCGCTGAAACAAATAAGGCCTCTTACGTCAGACTGCAATTCTTAACAAAATATTAGAGAATTCAAGCGCGAACGATAGCTTTTTTGCGCAAAGCTCTTTGCCAACACAAAAAATTGTTGAGCAATCTTTTTGAGACGCGCCCTTCCATCTAATACTTCAGTGAAATGACAACTTCTTGTGCAACCATTCAATTAATAGGTGACCAGCATGTTCCGATATGGTCCGCTATGTTAACATCTGGGCGAAATGCTCAAGATGGCGCTCACGTTCACGGCCAAGAGTGTCTTTCAGGAGGTCCCGGGGCACCTCATCAAAGGCGGCGTGCGCGAGAAATGCGCAACGGCAACGTAGATGAATCCTAGCCACTGCATCCATGAAGCTCTAGTCCATAGGGCTCTAATCTCTTTGCGGCACCGCAACTTGTGAAGCCCCAGCGGGCACTCTACAACTAGGGGAACAAATAGTCGCAAAGCATGGCACACGGCGCTCACTCCGCTATTGTCAATCATGAAAGCAGGCCGAGAAAAATATATCAGAAGAGATTTAGAAAATTCTCGAGACCATTTTCTTAACCTGGCAGGAGCACATGAAATCAGATAAGCTGCTAGGCAAGAAGGAAAAAGAAATCGCTAAACGTTGATTAGTCTTCTTTCGAGGTGCGCCATGCATTCGTCATACTCTAGAATCACAGCGACTTTTGGAATCGTATTTCGCCCATAACATGAATTGCAGAGCCAGCTGCCGCGTAAGAAATGTTTTATCCTGACAGTCCCACCACCATCAAAAACCCGAAGGAATGGTGAGCTAGGCATGCTCAACCAGATTCGAATCTGCTGTTTGGGAACTGCGGTAGAAGCGCCATCTGTCACCGCCCATGTCCGCTCGAGGAAAAAGAAGGTCGGCAAGCAGAAACGATTGTAAGATTCTAACACCGAAACAGTATCATCTAGAAAAAACAGGACAAACCTCGATCGCTTTTGTCATCTACGAGAATTATTTCCCTCAGCAAATGCGGAGGGGTTCGATTGACCACGGAATGGACTGTGCGGGAGAAGTGCTGAAAAACTGACACTCAAAATTTGCAGGCGCTTCTCCCATACGAATATAAGTCTCCCACACAATCGGCATTGACCTAAGGAGACACTGCAATACCGATCTGTATGGGGGGGGCGGACGAAAACTACTTAGCAAGAAAGAACTCATTCGTGATACGCCAACTGACACACAGATGCGTGGGCCAATGTTGTGGGTGTACGAAAGGCAAGACATTCACGTCGATCCTCGAATGCACTGTTTATACTTCATCCTAACGAGATTCTTGTCGACTGGAAAACAATAATGGAGTATATGGAAATGCTCTACAGCTTCTTATAAGCGAAATTGCAACCTAGGCCAAAGCGAACGTTCATCTGAAAAATGTCTGTCATTGTGTTCCTTACGCCGATCGGTTCTCATCTCTCTTCACCTTCTAGGAACACGGGATCACCATTCTCACCCGGTCCTTCCCGTTTCTTGGAGTAATCGGGAATCTGAAGTGGAATAAACAACAACAATTCTCCAACACCTTCTGGTGCACCCAGCAATTGTTTCCTACCAATTTTAGCCTTTGAAAACGCTTCCGGCATTTGAAGTACGGATTTTAATCGATTTCATGTACTATTCCTCTCAAAAAGAAAAAGGGTTTCGAAGACGACTGTCAAAGAAAGGAAGCGCAAAAGAAACTCGAAGGAAGCCTCAAAAATTGAGAGTCCTCTCTGCTTGTGGGGGTCGGCGTGGTACATGCAGAGATTAAGCAACGCGAGGCCGAGCAGGCCATGCGATGAGACGCAGATACCACTGTTTGCTGAGCACAGGTAAAAGTGGCAGCGGTCGCAGCGGTTAAGGGAAGGTTTGTCGCCCTTGTCGCGCACCTTCTGAGTCGCAGTGGCGCCAGCATTCCTGTGCTTAGGGACCTCGAGAAGTCACGCAGGGAGCGGATCGCTATCGATCCTGCCGCGACCCCTGCCTTTGAGTAAACGTTTAAGTTTCATTCCAAAGGTTTCACTGACTCCTGCGATCAATAATTGCGTCGTAAATGCGACAAAAAAAAGATTTCAAAACAAACCAGAAAGACTAGTTTCATTTTGAAAGGCATCCTGCCATAAATATAGGGAAACGCAGAGACCGTACTAACTTCCATAAGTGTCACGGAGACGTAATTGACTCGTCGTTACCAGGGCACCGAACTACTTCCATGGACATATTTAGACGAGAAATAAAATTTTGAAATTTTATGGTTATAATAGTAGAATAGTGCCCAATTTCTTATATGCATTCCCTAGGTAAGACGATATAGTCAGGAAATTTGAGTGGAAGTGTAATACCGACGTATTCTGACCCACCTCGGCTGGCGATAGGTCGCGCAAAGGTGTGTGCACTACAGCGAGGCAAATTAGAAACAAATTAATCAAAAACACTTGCACTGATATTGAGGTAGTCCAACATTAAGACACATACCGTATGAATTCTCACAAGTGGAGTTTTCTTGTATATTTTCGCGCCTTCGCGACTCCATGTGATGAAATAAAAACACAGAAATTGCAAAAAGAGTCCAGTTTAAAAGACGAGATCTCTGGCGCGGAGTCAGCAGTGATCGCATTGCTCACCCACCAGAAGAACCCAAAGGTTCCCTGATCCTGAAACCACTTGAAACAGAAGCGAAAAGCCAAACGTGTGACATTTCATGCCCTCGAGAATTGAAGGTAGTATACCACACACTAATTGAACAGGAACTAATTAGAGTGGGACAAACAATTTATTCAGAAAATCACAATGAAAACATCACAAGTGATCATCTACCTCTTCTTATCCCCGAGATCATCAATCATCTCTTCTTGTACCTGAAAGCAAATTTCAAAGTAACCATATGGTAGCAATAAACTAGAGCTCAATTAAGCAATAATAGTCTCACCTGAGGCCATTTAGCTGGTATCATATCGAGCAAATCGTCCTTTACATCACCCTGTATGACGATTTCATCAGCACCCGTTACCGAACTACCACACGCAAATTTCTGTGCGAACAGTTTTGAAGCCTGTTTGAGGTCAATCTCTGAAAATGAGTTTTTCTTCAATTCAGCATTTTTATGATTCCCTCTACCTTACCAAATGTTGCTAGCCCTCTAATAACAGTCACACTTTTCTTTCCTCGTGGTTCACGCTGAAGTGTCACCTTCGTACCTGCGGCTACTGGCTTCTTCTTTACAGCCTAAACAAAAATATTGAGTCTGTAAGAAATCTGATCACCTATGAATCAAATAGAATGACCTTACCTTTACGATCCCTTTACCTCCTCTCTTTTGATGCTTTTTCTCTTCAAGATTTTCATCGCTTATCTCAATTCCCTCAAGAGCTTCTGGGGCGTTCTCTTCACTCCACTTTCGACACTTGTCCGTCATTCCAGAATATTCGCAATACTCCAGCGGCATCGAACATTCTTGAATGTAAAAATTGTTTCTCTGGCCTGGCTCTACGAACACATTTAATGGGGTAGATTAAATAAAACGCTCTTAAAGATAGTCAGGGAGAACC